AAAATATTTAATCAAATTTTATGTAAAATCAAATTAAAATAATTAAATTTGACCAAAAAAGTATAAAACAAAAAAATATTAAATAAAAAAAATAACTTCTAATATTAAGAGATACATATTTTATCCAAAAATTTAAAAACTATATATACTTAGAGGAGATTCGTTCCCCTATGCAAAAGTTTAAGCACTATACCCTACCTTACCTTTTCTTTTCTTTGTAAACTTTGATTAATTTAGTTATCTTAATATTATCACTCGTTATTTGCGTATAAAATTACTTGGTTGCGTCGATCTATACAATTACGTATTATGTGCACTCCATTTTAACCTTGAAATTCAAGTTTCTCAATTTGCCAAATCAACTAAGGACCTTTTCATTTGTCCCTGCTACAAATCAAAAGTCTCTTTACAAACATGCCAATGATGCAATTGGTAATTTTAATCTCCTTCTATTAGAACCCATGCTAAATGTGATAAATAAAAGAACAAAGATAATTACCGCCTTTCATTATTCAATTGAAAATTAAGTAAAAGGTATTGTATGGTTTAAAGGGTAATGTATCATCACATCATTAATTATTAATATTATATATTTTTATTTTAACTATTATATTTTTTAATTTATTAAAAATAAAAAAGTAATTTTAAAAAAATATAATATTAATTATTTAAAATATAACAACAAGTCTATCTTAATTTAAATTGTATTAAATTATATAATTTAAATAATAAAATAAAATAATAAAATTCTTTAATATTTTTTTAAACATATTACAATTTTAAGAAATGAGATATTCGAATCACAATTCTAAAACGGATCAAACCACGATCTTAAAACTGAGAAAATATACCTTATGATAAAACATATAACCATTGACTCATAAAACTTAAGTACAAAATTTTTTACTATTTAGACTTTGAAGTATATTAAAATTTAATATAACTCAAATTACAGAAAGAAGTCGTAGCTGCATATTCCTTTGACACGGTAAAAAAATAAATAAATAAAAGGGTAAAATGCAAAAGTACCTAATTGTCCTTATTATCTAAGCGGTAGATGGTGATTGCCCTTCGGGGGCCCAGCTAGTAAAGGATGAACAGATTCCAAAAGGAATTTTGCCGCCTCTTCCGACAATGAAATCGGACCCACGTCACGCACTTTGCATGTTTTTTTAACAAGCCACCACCAATCGCCTGTCTCCACGTGTACTTGTCGGGTCAAGTACGAGTCATCACGGGTGAGAGGACGCTGTAACGGGTTGGTAGCCAAGTCGCCACGCGCCACCAGATCACAACCGTCAATCTTCCGATAATATCGGTCGGTGGACACGTGTAAGCCGATTGTCGGGTTCTGGTTTCGACGGTGCATTGAGGGTGATGAATGTTAGACGTATTTGGGAGGGGACTTTGAATGTTTGACAAAAATGTGGTGGGGCCGGTGATTCGTCAATGATTTTAGTGTGGGACCCAGTGCTTTTTTATATGCCCGCTCGTGAACCCCCTCTCTCTCTCTCTCTCTCTCTCTCTCTCCTCACATGCCTGCTTGCACGTAAGTAGAATTATTCCCTGTCTTACACTCGCTTGCCTCTTGGTCTTCTTTCACCCAAATTTCTTGCCCCATCGGATATGGATATCCTAACTGCCATACCCCACAAATTACAATTGAAAATGATATATATTTTGTATAGTAAGTTTACTAAATTATAATATAAAATATCCTTATATATCATTGATTTTTTTATTTATTTAATAGTCTATATATGATATTATATATAATCATTTATTTAATAAAATATTATTATATTTATTTAATATTATAATTTTACGTAATATTATAAATATACTCTTCTTGATTATAATCTTGTATCATAGCAATTACATTATACACACAATATTTGTAGCTAATTAATAATTACATAACATGAAACAATTAGATTTACAAGGCAATATAAATTAGGAAATTGCATATATGAGAGCTTGAACTTATAACTCTAACAATTTGTTTGGATAAAAGAAGTTGGAAGGAAAGGAGAGGAGTGTGAGGGGGAAAGAGCACATTCTCTTATTTAAATAAATAATTTTAATAGACAGGAAGGGAGACGGAGTTCCTTCAACTTCTCTATTTTCAACCCCTCCAATTTGAAAGGATTGAGATGGATCACATTAGTTAATTTATTTTTGTTTTTAATTTTTTAAAAATAAATATATAAACATTTTATTTCAACTATTTATTTAATTAATAAATTTTAAAAAGTTTACTAATTTTTATTTTATTTTTTTATTAAATTATTTAATTAAATAAAAATATTATACTTCCCCCTCCTTCACTTTTATCTATCCAAACAAAACTAATATCCATTATTTCCTTCCCTTCACTTCTCCTCCCTTTCCTTCCCCTCCTCTCCCCTTCCTTTCCTTCACTAATTTTTATCCAAACATAGGGTAAGAGCCTCAACATCTAGATTTCTTAACTCTTTTTTTTGGAGTATCTATATTCTTAACTAGTTCATTTGATACCTTATTAGTAATTACTATTCGTTGCAAGTGAAAAACGAAAAAGGAAGCTATCCCAATGTCAAATTATATATGTCGTTTTTCACTAAAAATCAATTGATTTCCTCCTAAGTTTTAAGATAAGGGTTGATGGGTGTTTATCAAAACTATGTAATTTTGAAATAGAAATAGAAGGAATTTATTAAAATTATATAATTTGGGAGTTATTCATTGAAAAATATTTTTAAGTCATGACTAACTAACTCTATTCTATTTTTTATATTGAAAATTATTCTAGTTGTATTATTTTACAAAAAAAAAAAAAAAAAAAAATCTCTTCCCATATATAACTATAAAATTGAAATATTACTAATATTTAATGTCTTTTTAAAATAAAAAGTAGGACAATTAAATTAAACCATCTCTATTTGATGACGTAGTTAGAAATTATTGCTTTCCTTTTCACTTGTTGATTAGAGTTTGATTTTTAGATAAAAATTTCTCTCTTAAATGGTTTTTCTTCTAGCAAGAGATTATACTTTGAATCCTAATATGGGCAAATGGGATGAATATAAGAATGAGAGAGCTAGATCGAGTTGTCTTCCATCCAACTATCAAGATAATTAAAGCCTTTCAAAAAAACTCAAGATAATTAAAAAAATCAAAAGACAAAAATCTCCTTACCAATGCATTAATGTTGATTTTTTGATATGTACAAATTAACTCAAGATTATAAAATTAGAAAACGAGAAGGTTATATATATATGAAGCCTTATAGAAAGACGGCACCCATGCTTTCATTTCACAAGGAGGCAATTTCGCCCGCCTGGATACCGCTATTCTAGATCGCGCCAACCCTTTATCACATTTTGAAAGATTAATATATATTTACTAATAGCTAATTGCTTTTCCCCATTCAATGTATACAATCCTAAATCATGTATTTTATCAATATGATCAATAATTAGTTTCACTGGCAAAAGAATATATGTATACTTTCAAACAATATCAATCTAGAGAATACAGGACATGAATTATTAATAGTTGACAAGCATGCATGTTTGTCTCTATATATATACATTTAGTTTTTTTTTATAGAAAAGAATCCAGACATATTTTGTCTGACTCCTTACCTGTAAATTAAATTATTTTGTCCATACACGTTGTCTAAGGCTACACCCAAAAGTAGCTCGCTGGAATTGTGATAGAAAAATTTAAACTTGCGTTAAATTACTGACGTGAATTATATTCATTTAATTTTAATTTAAAAGTGTTTAGTCGAGTTCATATATTACAACTAAAGAAACACAATATGGTCCCTCTTTTCCTACTTTAATTTCTCCCTTAGCTTTGAAAGGCATTCGTGTTATTTTAATGTCAAGAATGAGCTGGTAGAGCATATTGAAACAGGGGTCGAGCAAGACTCCATTTCAAAATCCGAATCATTGAAGAATAAACAAGAAAATGACAAAACTAAATTAGTTTTTAAAATTTTCTTTCCAGTTTTTTAAATCTCAAGTTCAGGGGAAAAAAAGGAATAAATAGAAAGACAATGTAGCTACATAAGCACCCAAATTATTTTATTTTATTGGAACAGATCACAAAGTGCACACGGCAATCCAATTTTTCCTTAATTTAATCTTTCTTAAACGTAAAACTGGTTTTTTATTTTAATCATGTCACTTTTGAACTTTGATGACCCATAAGTGCTGCTTCATGCTTCTTCAACATCAATTTCTTCATCAATATAATTCTTTTTCTCTCATTTTCATTGCTTTGTACCAAACAAAAGAAAGTTTATACTAGCAAAAACGCGTAGGTGTGAATCTATCAATTGCATGGCTGAAAAATAAAAATAATATCTATCAATTGCCATCTAGGTGAAAACTATTCAATTAGGTCAAATCTGTCCAGCTTAAAATGAAATTTTAAACATATATATATTTATAAAACTAGTTAAGCTAAAGATTCAAATACTCACGTTATTTTAAAAAAAAAAAAAATACGACAGCTATCAATGTACTATGTATGCACGTTTGAGTTAATGATAGTAAAGTAAAAAAAAAAAAAAAAAAAAA